GAAAAAAAAAAAGACCAAGAAAAAACCTCCAGAAAAGTAAGCTGGGGATGAACAGCCCCCTCTGCAGGGCCGTCCTATGCATTTCAGTCAGGGTCTGTAGCACCCTGGATCCCACTATCAGGCAGGCAGCCCAAACACTTTCACAAATTTCCAAATTTCTAGGAGGCAGAACACTTGGATGATCTTTAAACTTCTCCCTCAGCTCTGAAATTCTCTTGTTTTGGTCCTCATATTCTACAAACATTTGTGTTGTTTTTTTTTTAATATGTGTGTGTGTGTGTGTGTGTGTGTGTGTGTGTGTGTGTGTGGCCAGCTCGGCCCACCAGGGAGCGGGGCTGGCTGGCATGTGGTGCTGGGGGATTGAACCGCAGTCCCTGTGCTTTGCTTACCTTGTTTCAAGTAGGTGCTTTAGACCACTGAGCCATCTCGCCAGCCCCAAACATTTGTTTTTGATTTTGTTTTTTTTGTTTTTTGGGGGGTTTTTTTTTGGGGGGGTGGGGGTTGGCAGAACCAGGGATTGAACTCGGGCCCTTGTGCTTGTCAGGGAAGAGCTTATTCCACCAAGCCATCACCCTGGCCCTATAAACGTTTTTGGAGTGCCCGGGATATACTTTGTCCTGGGCCTCAGGCGGTGACTAATCTAATCAGCCATAGCCTCTCCTTCCCTTCAGTCTAACATAAAGCTGGAAGGACCTTAGCCACTACCCTTCTGTTTTACAGAGGAAGAAGTGAGGCTCAGAGAGCACAGGCTTGCATTTAGGGTCAGACAGAGGGTCAGTGGTCTCCAGGGGCCCAGGCAGAACCCTATCCTTCGCAAAGAACTGAGAAGTGCCTTGAGAGCCTTGTCCCACTAATCTTCTCTCCTTCCTCCAACCCCCTGGACCCCCATAGTTCCAGCTGCGCTGACCCTGGACCCAGGCACTGCCCACCAGCGCCTGATCCTGTCCGATGACTGCACCATCGTGGCCTATGGGAACCTGCACCCACAGCCGCTGCAGGACTCACCGAAGCGCTTCGACGTGGAAGTGTCGGTGCTGGGCTCCGAGGCCTTCAGTAGTGGCGTCCATTACTGGGAGGTGGTGGTGGCAGAGAAGACCCAGTGGGTAATCGGGCTGGCGCATGAGGCTGCAAGCCGCAAGGGCAGCATCCAGATCCAGCCCAGCCGGGGCTTCTACTGCATTGTCATGCACGATGGGAACCAGTACAGTGCCTGCACAGAACCCTGGACACGGCTCAACGTCCGTGACAAGCTGGATAAGGTGGGTGTCTTCCTGGACTATGACCAGGGCTTGCTTATCTTCTACAATGCTGATGACATGTCCTGGCTCTACACCTTCCGTGAGAAATTCCCAGGCAAGCTCTGCTCCTACTTCAGCCCCGGCCAGAGCCATGCCAATGGCAAGAATGTCCAGCCGCTGCGGATCAACACAGTCCGCATCTAGTCTGGGCCAAGGGTGCACAGCCTCCTGGGCCACTACCACCACCAGCAGAAGCCCGGCTCAGCAGAGGGAGGCCTGGACTCAGCCCACATCCACCACTGTGAGACCTCAGGCCATTGTTTACCCCTCAGCTCCTTTGCCCTGTCTGTGACATGGAGATTGTGCTCCGTCGTTCTTAAGCTCCGTCCCAGCAATCATGCTCTGTAGCTCTGACTTTGATGAGGACATGACATGGGTTCTCCTCAGGGCAACTCCTGCCCAACCTCATCCCATCCTCTTAAGGGCAGGGGACTACCTCCTTCTGTCTGTCCCTCTCCTGCCCAGCTGCTCTGGTCTCGGGATATGTCAGATGTGGCCAGTAGTTGACACCCTGAAAAAATCCTGTGTCCATGATTTACCTTTGCAGTTGACTGAGCTAGTGATGGGCCATTTTACCCTTGACCCCACCAAACCCACAGTGGATAGGCAATAGCTGTTCCCAGAGTTATCTGAGACCTACCCTGTCCTGCTACCCCTGTACCAAGAACTCTTTTCCCACTGATCAGCAAGTCAGAGGGGATGCTGTGTCATGTGGAAGGCACCCTGTAGCTGAGTCCATGGTTACTGTGTCACCATGTCACCCCTTTCCTACCCACAACCTAAGGGCACCCTGAGGACTAATGTACAGTCCATCAGTTAAAGGCATCTGCAGGACAAGCATCACTTAACGATCAAGGTTCCCAGAAGCCTTGGACAGCGTCTAGCCAGCCCTGTTCAGTCAGGCCTCTGTGACCTGCCATGCTGAAGAGAAGCTGCTGGGTGCAGTTCTTTTGCTCAGGACTTGCACTCCGGAAGGAGCCCTTCGCCAGGTCCTGCCTTCAGACTTGACATCTATCTCACTTAGGATCCTGCTGCAGAAAAAAGAGCCACTTTAGCTGGCTTAATTAGACAAGGATTTATTACCCACTCCCCGGTGACTTTCAAAATTGTTGGAAAGGCTAGAGGAGCAGCGTCTTCACTGAATTTCCGGGAACAACTCCCAACTGCCAGATTCATCATGTCTACTGTGACCGAGAAGGTTGCTCTCATCGGTAAGAAGCGGCTGCAGTGCAGCCACTGCCTGCAGAGCCATGCTCCCTCTGGCACCATCCATGCCAGCGAGTGGATGTCCTGAGACCTGCCTCTCTCTCTCACTTAACTCAGGTCCCCAAATCCCATACCTCTAGAAGGGACTCTGTGAAATGAGACAGATTCTAAACACTGGCTACAAGGGAGTCTGGGAAATGTAGTTTTCTTTTTTCCAGCCTCGGCCATACACAAAGGCTTGCTAGAGCGTTAGCATGGATGGTGAGCAAGCACATCTGCATTTTTTGCTACAGCATCCAACTGTGCTGTGTTCTGTGATGTCCTGGTGATTGTATTCCTGCCCAGAGGTAATAGCCCAAGGTGTGAGCCTACCAGCCTGAGCTAAAATGTCTCCACAGTCTTGGCCTTTCTTTCCAGTGCTGGGGCCTTGGTTCTGTACTTGAGGTCTCTGAGCACAGCCATCCCAAAGGAGCCAGCACAGCTGAACTAGAAGGGCTCCCTCCTCACAACTGCCACACACACATACACAGGCAAGAGGAATCCTCATCCCTACCCACTCCCACAAGTCCCAGAATCTGGGACAGTATTTTTATTTAAAAACATTTCCCATTTTGTGAGTTATGATCAATTTGTATTAAATTAAAGTTACTGGATGCCAGTGGTCTGTTTCATTCCTTCTGACAAACATAAAGCCCCGCCTGTCCTGTCTTAGGCAGTGCAGGTCCGTTAGCGCAGCTGGTCCACAAGCTGGGTAAATTGCACTTGGTTCACTCTGTACGGGAGGAAAAGCAAGGCCCAGGAGAGGACAGAGAGTCTCACAGCCCACACTGGAAAGTGAGAACTGAATTCTCAAGCTGTTGGAAACTTGGGAAGACCGCCAGTCCTTTCCTGGAGGAGAGCTGGGGTAGCCCTGGGAGAAGGCACAAGGAGCTTGCAGGACAGTAGTAAGAGCCTGGCCTCTGGAACTATGTAGACCTGAGCTTAAGTCTGGTTTCCATCAGTGTGACTTTAGAGAAGTGGCCTTGTTTCTCTCGGTCTCAGTAGCCCTATATCGGAAGAGTGGGGATAATACCACCAACTTCACCCGATTTCTAAGCTACTGCAGTGTACTGAGCAAGGCCCTGCCTGTCCCTCGAGCTGTCCTGGAGGCAGTGCCTGGAGCTGTGTGGGTTTTCTGAATCTCTGTGCTGGGTCTGACACTTAAGAAGCTCGTCTTCCTCCTTGTTTGTGCTTGGGGAGGGAGATGGAACCACCAGGAAGATCTCCAGGTCTTCTTGTTGAAGGTGATCCATTCTACCTTGGCCCAGGGGGGACACAGCCTGGCCAGGGGTCCAGCAGGGCCAGCACAGGACACACAGCTGTGCACACTGATGGTACAGGCCACTGGGGCATCTTGGCTTTTTATTGACTCTGTCATAAAGGGCCCTTCCTCAATCTCACCTGCAGAATGGAGGTTAGACTGAAGGCTTAGAGGCACCAGGTGGCTCCTCATTCATATGCTGGAGATGGGGAGAGAGGAGAGAGAATCCCAATTCATTGACTTGTTTGGGGCTCTAGGGAGAGGGGCACAAACAAGGATGGAGGGGCCAGCCAGACAGCTCAGTGGACTAAAGTGACTGCTTAGGCAGAACACAGTTGCTGGGGTTTGATCCCAGCATGCCATGCTGGCCCAGCTCCCGGGGTGCACTGAGAAGGCAACTGAGACCGGGTGTGGTGGCACACGCCTGTAATCCCAGCACTTGGGAGGCTGAAAACAGGAGGATCACTATAAGTCCAATCTACGTAATGAGACACTGTACACCCTCTACCAAATGAAAAAAAAAAGGGGGGGGGATGGAGAGGGGCTGATGCTATGGTGGACCTAGGTCTTGATTTACTGAAGGAGAACAGCCCAGTGTGCAGTTAAGTTATGGAGGAAGGGTAATTTTGAGACTAGAGTCTCCTTAAAGTCCCCTATTCATTCAGCTCCCCCCCACACACACCAAACCATGCCTCTCTGTTTTATCTCAGTGAATGTCTGCTCTACCTTCTTCTGGGGAGGAACAACCCTCTCCCTACATACACCATAATCCATCTTCCCCTTTTCCCTCAGCCTCACCACCAAGTCCAAGAAGTGCTAGCCCTGGGCTGGAGAGATGGCTCAGTGGTCTAAAGCACCTACTTAGAACAAGCTTAGCAGAGCACAGGGACCGCGGTTCAATCCCCCAGCACCACATGCCAGCCAGCCCCGCCCCCTGGTGGGCTGAGCTGGCCACACACACACACACACAATAAATAAATGCTAAAAATAAACAGCAGAATATATTTTTTAAAAAAAGAAGTGCTAGCCCTTTCCTACCCTCTTTGTTTTAAAGTGTCTAAGGATAACTGTAGGGGCCTCGTGTACATAGCCACCTAGGGATTACAGGGAATTAGGAGAGCTCTAAATTGTATATCTGCATAACTATCCAGAAAATTCCTGAATGAAAGATGGGATTGTTGGGTGAAACCAGAATCTTCACATTTAATGCAGTTAAGTGAGGAGGCAAAAGCAGTTCAGCTGTGGGTATGGAGGAGGAATCAACATAGATCTTATCCAAGGTGAGAAAGGATTGATTGGCAGCAGCCCCTCTGAGTCCTCCCTATGTAACCACTGAGCAGAGTGCTTGTATTTTTTCTACTCTATCTAACTATTGAGACAAGCCCCTGGGATTAGATTCATTATCTCAGCTTTTGAGTGAAGAAGTATTCCCAGATGACCCACAGCTACTACCTTGCAGAGCTGGAAATCAGATGTATCCAAAGCTAAAGCCCAGCTCTTCACTGGACTTCTCTGGAAATTCTTCTCAATTTTGAGGACTGCTTCAATGACAGGCAGTGGCCACCAAGCCTGGGATCCCCTTGGCTTCAAAATGGGTGCATACAAAGTGAGTGCCATCGTGGAATTGTGTGGTTGTGACTTAAGTTTCAGTTGCATGCAAAGTATATCTCCAAGGTTCAGTGGTGGACTCGTGAAGGCTCTATGTGACCTAAGCAGGTCCCTCTCCCTTGCTGGGGCTCCATTTCCCCATGCCAGTTGAAGAAGAGTTGGAGATTCAGTTGATTGGTTGCCAGAGTCCTAGCCCTGTTGGTCCAGGACTCTGAGCGTTCAATTTGAGCCACATAGATGGCCAGATTTATCATGCTTCTCAGCCCTTATTAAGGCCATTATATCTGAGCCCTGGGGTGGCAGCAGAGCCAGAAAAAAAAAAAAAAAACACAAAATAAGATCTCGTGGAAACACAGAGCTTACTTTCAGGGTTCTGGGGCAAGCCTTTCCTTCTGCCAGAGAAGCCATCCCAGAGGCTGATTGCTCACAACTAGGCAGCACTCCCTGCTTCCTCCCATCCTGCCCAGGTCATGACTCTATTCACCACCCTTAAGTTTACCACCACTGCAAAGACTTGGGTGACAGACTGAAAAGCATGGGGCAGGGAAGGATGTGGGAAAGTGGGGTACTGACCAAGGTGCTGAAGTAAATCATTGTTGCCCACCCACCAGGACATGGCTATTTCTCCTTACTATAGGACCAATTATTCTACCCAGTCTCTTGGGAAATCCTGAAACATGGAAAGAAAAAGGAAGTGATGGGGAGCAGAGCAGGAAATAGGGGTATGGCACACTCAGGAGACTCAGCTTCCAAAAACCTGACAGAAGAGGGAGAAGTATTTGTTCTCGTTCTGCCTCTGTCTCTGTCTTTCTGTCTCTCTGTCTCTGTCTCTCTCTCTGTGTCTCTGTCTCTCTCTGTCTCTCTCTGTCTCTCTCTCTCTGTCTCTCTCTCTCTCTCTCTCTCTCTCTCTCTCTCTCTCTCTCCGCTTCCCTCCCTCTCTCACTCTCTCTGAACTACATCCGCAAGCCTTTTTGATTACTATTTTAAGACAGAGTCTAAGTTACTAAATTGATCAGGCTGGGCTCAAACTTGCAAATCTCCTGCTTTGGCTTCACAGAATGCTAAAATCACAGGCCTGCATCACCACGCTTGGCTGTTTTTCTTTTCCATCTTTGTGAAAAGTATGTGAGTTTTAACCCTAAATGTAAAAGGAAAAGTCTTCTTTCAAACTTTTGACAGTTCTGTTATATTTCCAACTGCTATAAAATGTTCCTCACTCATTCTAGGAATTAGATGAAGTGGGGGGGGAGGTTAACACTTTGGAGAAGAGGTACAGGAGCTCCCTGCCCTGATGTCATGACCGTAGAGGGCCTTTCAGGAGACTGGAGTCAGAGAACCAAAGCCCCAGGTGCTGTGAGCTCCCTAAGAGAGTGGGCCTAGATGTGATCAAACCTGAAGGCTCAAGGAGCTGGGTGACCCTCTAGTCCACCCTGAAGTCCAGAGAGTTTCCAGCTGAAGGCATACAGCATGCGACAGAGCTGGACCAGAGCCCTGATGTCCTGGTTCCTAGTCAGCACACAGGGGAGAGAGAATTGCCAGCTGAGAGGCCTAAGCCACAGCAGTGAAAACCAGCACCAAGGGCAGGCTGGAAAGGTGCATGGGTGTAGGGGGTGCTTATCAGAGTTGGGGGCTGTAGCACCCAGGGACAAGGAGAGGAAGAACAGTGATAGGAGTACTCCCTAGGGTAGAGACTCAGCCCAGCTGGGGTTGCTGGTCATCACCCCAGGGTCCAGGATGGCTGTGAAAGATCACTGGTCTCAATGCCTTCATTTTACCAGTCAGTGGGGCTAGGCCCATCCCCATGCCTCCTGACTCCCAGCCCTTGGTTATGTTCATGCAACCTCTATTCTCTGACATGGATTCTGAAGCCAGCCCTCTCCTAGTCCCCAGAACCTGGAGTCAGCAAAGACCCACAGCTCTAGGCACCAGAGCTGGGTGCTGTCTTTTGTCCTATTTTTTTAAAGAAAAGGAGGAGCTGGTTTAGACCCCTCCTGGGCACAGCCAGTGCCTTCCCATACCTTATACCTCCTTTGCTGGTAAGAGTCCAGAGCCAGCACCACCTACAGCAAGGACAAAGCCCAGCAAGGATAGCTACTGGAGACACAAGCAGTCTCTGATGAGTGAGGGCACTGGGATCAGTGGCCCACAGAAATCCCCTGATTTCATGGGACTACAGTCAGCCCTAGGATCTCAGGCAGCTTGGAGGTACGAGGGTCATTTCTCAATAAGGGGCTTTTCCCTTCTCTCACCCTAGAGTCTGAGCCAATGGGCCTATTTCCTCTGCCCACTACATAACACTGACCAGGCTGCCAGACCTACCGACTGGGAGCCAGGCCCTGGGCCCCCTTCTCTGCCACTGGGAGGAGGGAGATGAAAATGAAGATCTGAGGAAAAGAAGAGACAAGGGGGCCAAAGAGATGGCTCAGTGGAATAAGCGCTTCCCTGGCAAGTGCAAGGGCCTGAGTTCAATCCCTGGTTCCACCAAAAAAAAAGAAAAAAGAAAAGAAGAGACAAGATGGTGCTGTATGCATCTCACAGGTATGGGGCCATGAGCCAAGTACTGAGCCAATTTTGTGAGACCTCAGGTAAGCCCTGGTTTTCTGCCTGGCTCATTAGTGACACTGTACAGCTCCCTTCATTTCTGCCTCAGGATCTCCATTTCTCATGAGCTTAGCAAGATGTTATGGCTTGTGTCTAGATGACCCTCCTTCCCGCC